GGCCGGGAGGGCCCGGCCTGCGGTCGGCGGCGATGACCGGGTCGAGCAGCGGGCTGGGGTCGTGGCCAGATTCCGCCCGGCCGCGCGCACGCGGGTCTCTGATCCCGGCCCGGCGCCGCGTCCTCCGAGCCACCGGCCACTGCGTTCTGCACCGAGCTGCCGCTCGCGGGTCCCTGCGCTCTTAAAGGGCCCGCGCCGCCCCACAGCCCGCGGGGGGCGAGGATGGAGAGGGCTAGGGCAGCACCCGCGGCGCGGGGCCGAAGGGGAGCGCGGTGCATCCAGGTCTGAAAGTCAACGGGAAAGATCGACTTGGGCGCCTTAAAGAAGGGGAGCTGGAGTCACTCCGAGGGCACAATGACAGTGACGGCAGGGAGTGTCTATACACACATCTATTTCCTCATTCTGGCTCTAGGACCCCCTCCATACCCAAAAGCGGGGGTCAGGAGTGCTCCTCCTACTCCCACTCACTTGCCCTCTCGAAGGGCGGGGACACTAGTTCGAAGGGGAGCGCAGCTTTGCGAGTGCCCAGACTTGGACGCGAACTGGGGGACTCCCTGGTCCGCGCCGCCAGGCCGGAGGCGGGCGCGTGGCGGGCCCCGGAGGCCCCGCGCGGGGCTGTGGCTCGGGCCTCTCGCGCAGCACCGGCATCTCTCCTTCCTCTCGGGCGATGGCTCCCGCTCCCCGCCCTGTGCTTTCCCATTCCTTGGACAGTTCTTCCTGGCCCCTGCCGGCCTGAGCCTAAGAGTCTTTAAGGGGTAAAGAGGTTAGCCAGTCACGACGCGTGACCTGAGCGTCTCGTTGCCACCTCTCATTCCACGGAGACTACAGGAGGGAAGAGGCTGAGGCTGTCCGGCCACTGCCGCCGCGCCGAGGCTTCTCCCGACTGCAGCAGCCGAGGGAGAGATTACATCCGGCGGCGTCTCTGCAGCTGGTAGGCTGGGGGCTCCTGCGGGGCATCTCCGAGCCCTACTCTGCAACTGTAAGGTCCGTGTGGGTTTGGGATACAGCCTTTACTGTCCTCCCTCCAACTCCTGAAGCTTGCAAGCGCCGTCGCTGCTCGGGACCACTTGCCGCTCTTCAGATGGACTCGTTCTCCAAGCTCACCTCCAACGTTCCTCTTAGACTCTGCCATTTCCCAACAGTTGTATTTACGGAGCAACTATTCTGTACCAGGCAGATTAAACTTTCATTTAATCTCCTTCAGCGACAAAACAATCTGCGCCATAGGAATTTAAGCAATATATGCCCAAAGGAGCATGTGTAGTCAGTAGTCAAGTTGAACCCTTTCACCCACTTTGCTAATTGGTCCTCTCATAACCAAAGGAACTAACTGTCTCCCTCCGTTTTCCAGCGAGGCTCTTCAGTATCTCACACACACACACACACACACACACACACACGCACATACACACACAGAGTCTCGCTGAACTATCTAGATCTACCGAGATGGGACTCGGAGCTGTGATCCTCAGCCATCCGAGGCGCTGGGATTGCGCACCTTCACCGCCGCCTTCAGCTCATCTTCCTTGCCTCCTAATGTTGTTTCTCCTCCCCACCATTCCCTGTCAGACAACTTTCCAGTTCCAGGAAAGTTTCTTTCCCTTTGAGGGAAACACTGTCTCTATCCTCTTTTTAAGATTACTGGGGCTGGTGAGATGGCTCAGTGGTCTAAAGCACCTACTTGGAACAAGCTTAGCAAAGCACAGGGACCATGGTTCGATCCCCCAGCACCACATGCCAGCCAGGGCCGCCCCCTGGTGGGCTGAGCTGGCCACACACACACACACACACACACACACACACACACAC